AGTTACAGCTGTTTCTGTTTTTCCCCCTTTGATTGGCTTGTTTGTTTGTTTTTTTTCTGGCTGTTTCTCCTGTAATTTAAATCCTTTCTGGAGTGAAGTCCCTGTACAGAAGCTGAGTTACTTCTACATGAAGAGCTGCACTTCCTTCCACTTTTATTCTATTGTCTGGTTTCTGTTGCTTTATTTATCCCAGCGGGCAGTTCAGTTTAACAGTCTTTCCAGTTCAGATCATAAGTTAAATAAAAAATATAATACAAATATTCTATTTTACCACCTCAGTAAGAAGTTAGACTTTTCTATTTTGTGTGGAAATTAAAAAATACATAATACATTTTAAAAATTACTAATTTGATAAATGAAAACATGTTAACACCAACATTTATTTAGGACCAGTATAGCAACAGAAGAAATCAAAGCCATCAAGAGAGAAAGATGCAGGAAAAGCTCATCAAATGTGCTATTGTAATGTAACCAGATAAATATTTTCTGTTGAGCCCTATCTTTTTTAGACAATAGAGGGTGTTTATATTTTTGGTAATTTGATGCCACGAAAAGTATGCTGAATAGGAAATCAGAAATATATTTATTGCCAAGTAGATTTACACATATGAAGCATTTGTCTGGGTGATGTGGTGCAGACTAGCCAGGGAACTCTCCCTGGGTTTCTTTGAGGTGCTCATCCAATGTTACTTCTCTACTTACCTGTCTTCAGATTTTCCTTAAGCTGTTTACAGTTCAGTTTTAAATCAAGAGGACAATGCACGAGTATAGATTTAATCATAACCTGTAATACAGAGCAACTGTATGTATGTTACTGCAGAGGTCTGCAATAACAAAACTGTGATGACAATGATCCCTGAGCAATGTTTATTTGGAAAACTGGAGCCTCTGCAGTTCACACTTGATCATTACAACTATGTGAGTTTGTTGCAACATGATTACTCATGGAGCAGTCATCACAGTCACAGACCAGTTTCCACTGTCTGTCGATGCTGGCTATTTTGAGTTTCAATGAATCATAACATTGACCTTTGAGACTGAGACTCAAAAAATAAAACAGAAAAATGGGGAAAACAATCAGGAGTCAAAAGCAATATACAGTAGTGCATAACCATAACATGAGGCAGTTCAGATTATTAAAGGGAGTTTATTAGTCACCTTTAAGGACTGTGTCACAGATAGCACATTAAATTGGGTCATGTTTTAGCTTTGTATTTGTTAAACTTAAAAAAAAACCTACAACAATGAGGCTCTGATAATAATTAACAGTGCCTTTCTTCCCCACTCTCTACTTCCTCCTAAACTGAAAAATTAATAACATGACTTGACTTTCATTTGCCGTTATGTGTGCCTCTTACCTGTCTGCTAAGACTTAATAGAACAGCTACAAACAATAAAATATTTCCAAATGTTATTCCGCGGTCCTGATGTGTCTGTAACATACTAAGGTATGTTTCTGAGTCAGTCAAGTTACCATGACACGGTGTTCTTTTTTACCTGGATTAAAGCCACACCTTGTTTGCACCAGCCCCCTTCTTGTTTATGTGTCAAAGCCAATGAAAAGTTGGAAGTCCTTTCGAGGCGGTGGGAAAGCTATTCATAGCAGAGCTGTTATTCTTTTATTCACATGAAAAACACTATCATTGTGTGTGTGGTGAAAGAGAAGGGTGTGAGTGAGAGCAAATGAGTGTATTATAACAAATAGGTTTTCACAGTTAGGGCCAAGATTTTTTTTTTAGGTTTGATGACTTATTTCAAAATGTGGTTATTTTGATGGTTTTAAAGTTGTGAGGAAAATTACTGAATCTGTTTTTGGCACAACTGTATGAATGGTAACATTTTACAGTAATGATAAAAATCATGTTTAAGTAATGTTTAATGTATAACCCATGATTTAATACATGAATTTCTGCAAAAATGATCAAGTCACTGTGGCTTTCTGTAATTAGTAATGACTTGATATTTAACTAGAGAAAATGGGAAATGTAACATAAATACAGAGACAAAGGTAGAGTAGAGATAAAGTAGCAGTAGAGAAAGTAAGGCACTGTTTAATAAGGAGGAAAGTGACACCTTGAAAGTTCCTAAAAAAACTAGAGGCTTACTTAAAAAAGATGCATGCAGCTCAAAAAAGGGACAGGAAGCTTGGTCTGCCCCCCCGGCTTAATGGCATGCCCTGTAGGCTATCTAAACATGCTCCAGATGGGTCGAGGTTTTTGTGGAGGCTTATTAGAGTGGCATGGAAGAAGCAGCTCATTCCTAAGTCATGGAGAAGAGCAAGAAAAAAGTTTAAGTTGAAGTGGAGCAGTTTAGGTCTATTTGTCTTCTGAATGTAGAAGGCAAGATCTTCTTTAGTGTTGTGGCTCAAAGGTTGTTGAGTTACCTAGAAAGGAATAAAATTGATACCTTAGAGTAGAAATGTTAGGACCGCTCACACACGGGATGGTTAGTGAGCGAAAAAATAAGAGAAACTCGCAACAAAGTAGCAAGTGAACTGGGTATAAGTAGGGTGAGGGACTAAGTGAATGCAGCTGGTGTAAATCAAGGAATCAGTGGCAGGTGTGCAACGTGGAGAAAACTGAGACAGAAGTAATAAGAAAGGGAGGTGAGAAGGGCAGGTGCAGCCGGGCAAACCTGACAGGCAGTCAGAAAGATAATGGATACCAGACAGACAAAACACCATCCCAGGGAGGGAGGCGGGGGCCACCGGAGGGGGTGTTGTGGGCGTATTCCACTCAAGGCAACAACAGGTTCCAGTCTTCTGGTGAGGAACTGGTTATGCAACGGAGGGCGTTTTCAAGCTCCTGGTTTAACCATTCAGCCTGACCATTAGTTTGTGGGTGGTATCTGGAGGAAAGACAAGGACGAGCCCCAAGGGCTGTGCAGAAGGCGGGCCAGATGTGCGAAGTGAACTGTGGAGCCCGGTCAGAGACAATGTTTATGGGAATGCCGTGGATGTGAAAAACGTGTTGAACCAGGAGCTGGGCCATGTCAAGGGCTGTGGGGAGTTGTGGTAGTGCGAGAAAGTGAGTGGCCTTGGAAAAGCAGAGAACAATGATAAGAATGACTGTGTTGCCTTGGGAGGGAGGTAGCCCGGTGATGAAGTCTAGAGCTATGTGAGACAAGGGCCGACTGGGCGTGGTCAGTGGCCGAAGGAGGCCCGCAGGTGACTGATGGAGGGGTTTGGACTGCGTACAGGGAGCACAGGTTGCTACATACTCCCTGGCGTCTTTTTCTAAGGTTGGCCACTAATAGTGGCGTTTCAGGAGAGTAATGTTAGTTAGTCAGGAGTCATGGGCCCAGTTGAGGGTCTGGGCCCTAACAGCCTGGGGGATAAACAATCTGGTGGCCCCACCCCAGGATCAGGTTCGTGTTGTTGGGCCTCCCGTATGGTGTTCTCTATCTCCCATGTCACAGAGGCAACCATACAGGAGGCAGATAGAATGGTTTCTAGAGGGGTGTCCAAGGTAGAGGGATGGAAGTGCCAGGAGAGAGCATCTGGCTTTTGGTTGCGGGACCCTGGCTGGTAGGAGAGAGTAAACTGTAACCGATCAAAGAACAAGGCCCACTTCACTTGTCTGGGGTTCAGTTTTTGGCTGACTGGAGGTAGGCCAGGTTCTTGTGATCGGTCCAGACTAAAAAGGGCTGGTCGGCACCCTCGAGGAGGTGCCGCCATTCTTCCAACATCAATTTTACAGCCAGTAGTTCTTGGTTACCTACATCGTAGTTGCATTCAGCCGGGGTCAACCATCAGGAGAAGAATGCACAGGGGTGTAAGGTCTGGTCTCCCTAAGACCGCTGAGAAAGGACCGCTCCTACCCCAGTGTCGGATGCGTCCACCTCAACCACAAACTGCCGCAGGGGGTCAGGTTGGAGGAGTACGGGGGCTGTAGTAAATCGGTGTTTGAGTCCTTGGAAGGCCTGCTCCACTGTCCTGGACCATGCAAACTTCACCTTGGTGGAGGTGAGCTGCGTAAGGGGGGCAGCCACCCTGCTATAGTTCTTAATAAAGCATCAGTAGAAGTTTGCAAAGCCCTTGAAGCGTTGCAGGTCCTTCACGCAGGTGGGAGTGGGCCAATTGGTGACTGCAGTGATTTTGGATGGGTCGGTGTGGAGTCCCTGTTTGATGAGGAACCCCAGGAAGCCACTGAAGGAGAGTGGAAGATGCACTTCTCGGCTTTAATGTACAGGCGGTTTTCCAGGAGTCGAAGGAGGACTTGACGTACATGTTGGATATGGTCTGTGAGGGATGAAGAGTATATGAGAATGTCATCGAGATAAACAAACACAAAACTGCCTAGGAAATCACGGAGGATGTCATTGATCAACCCCTGAAAAACCGCCGGGGCATTGGTGAGGCCAAAAGGCCTCACCAGATATTCAAAATGCCCAAGGGGGGGGTTTGAAGGCCGTCTTCCACTCATTGCCCTGCACACTAGGTGGTAGGCACTCCTGAGGTCCAACTTGGTGAAGACTGCTGCACCCTGGAGAGACTCAAAAGCAGAGGAAAGGAGAGGTAATGGGTATTTATTCTTGACAGTAATAGCATTTAGACCACGGTAATCAATGCAAGGATCGAAGCCACCATCCTTTTTTCCTCACAAAAAAAGAACCCTGCAACCAGGGGTGAGGAAGAAGGACGGATCATACCTGCACGTCGGGCGGTTTCAATGTACTCCTCCAGAGCCTGTCATTCAGGTTTGGAGATGTGGAGGAGGCGACTGTTGGGCAAGGTGGCTCCCGGATACAGGTCAATAGCACAGTTATATGGTCTATGAGGGGGAAGAGAGTCTGTGGCAAGGTGCTTGCTAAACACCTGTTGAAGGTCATGATAGTCCGGGGGTATGTAAGACAGATGAGGTGGCTCAGGAGGTGGAGAGGCAGAAGGAGTAGATGGTGTCCAGCCAGGAGACAGGTGGAGACTCATTGGAATTGTTAATAGTCTTTCTTTTATAAGACAGTCTTGGTAGAATAGTATCTGTGGCTGGACAACTTCATGGATGGTGATTTGGTGAAAAGACTCCGCAACCTCTAGAGGGATACCTAAGGACCCAGTCCACCGAAACTGAGTAGATGAAAAGTTCTGGCTGCCCTGAACCACACCTCTGAACAGAAACGCAGATTGGCAGATCGCAGACGAAGAGCAGCTCCTACCTATAAGAAAGGACAGCGGGTCTGGCTGTCCTCTGCTCACATACCTCTCAAGAACGTCACACATAAGCTGGCACTGAGATGCCCGGGTCCCTTCACTATCTCAGACATCATCCACCCAACAGCTGTCCGCTTTACGCTCCCCCAATCGATGCGGTTGCATCCCATATTCCACGTCTCACAGCTCAAGGCGGTCTCCTCAACTCCACTCAGTCCTCCTCCCTCACAACCTCCTCCTGCCATTGAGGTGGACGGTGGACCTGCTTATTCCATCCGGCGCATTCTGGACATCCGCCCTCGTGGATGGGGGTTCCAATATTTGGTGGATTAGGAGGGGTATGGTCCGGAGCAGCGGTCCTGGACTCCCCGTTCCTTCATCTTTGACCCACAGATGCTTCATGCCTTTCATCAGGTTCACCCTGACAGGCCGGGTGGGTCGCTGTGAGGCTCACTTTGGGGGGTGGGGGGGTCCTGTCAGGGTTACGCTTCGCTGCACCTCACCTGTGGCAGATTACCTTGATGAGCTGTTGGCCTAGTTAACCACCACTCTAACACTCAGTCACCGCCAGTTCGTTGTCATACCTAGACCATGAAGTTTTGGCTCCTACAAACCTGCAAGTAAACTGTCACCTTTATTACCGCACTCTCTGCTGAGCTCTGTACCTACTGTATGGAGTCCTGTCTCCGACATCGCATGCTGTAGTACACATTGCACTTGCTCCTGTCTCATTGTCAGCTTCTATCAACACAGCCAGAAGCTCTCCTCACTGGCACCATCCTGTCTGGGCTAGCCTTCCTGCAGCCACCATCTCACTCAGCATTAGTGAGATGGTGGCGGTAATAAAGAGAGTGCGGTAATAAAGGTGACGGTTTACTTGCAGCAGTAGATCTCCAGCATCTCATCTCTCCAGTACCATCACGTCTGGGCCAGCCACTGTGCACTCGCCTCAGCTCATCACTCAACTCAACAACCCATCCAACAACTTGGGGACGGACTGCCGTTTCCTGCCTCTACGGTAAACCATACTCATTTCCTGTTTTCTGTACTTGCACTGCGTTGTGCTTGCTTCCAGATTGTTTAGGAATTAAGCTCACTATTTTCTAGGTTCATCTGAATTTTTGAGTGACAACATACACTTGCACCACTTAAAGCACTTGTGTTGCAGAAGTTCTTGCTAACTACCAAATTTAATTTGCTACTTTAGGTCGGCTAGTTTGGAAGCTAGCTAAGCTAGTAGCTTAATTGAGAGCAATGGCTTCCCCCTCTTCCTCTCCTCCTTTCTCTTGCTTGGAGTGTTGCGTGTTCAGTTATTCCTCTGCCTCCTTTAGCGATAATGGTACTTGTAATAAATGTCAGATGCTAGTGTAGCGGAATGATTTCGTCACATCCGTGTCGAGGTACTCTGCGTTGTGATTAACCCGGCTGGAGACAATCTTTCAGCTACAAATGTCTTTATTGCTGGTACAGAAGACAACATAACAAGAACAGCTTTAGCTCCGTTGCACTCAAATTAACTCCATGAGAGTGTATGGCAGACTGGCCTGTGTATAAAATAAATTAAAATGCATAATACCTGGTACAGAAGACAACATAACAAGAACAGCTTTAGCTCCGTTGCACTCAAATTAACTAAAAGGGAACAAAAACAGTTTTAGACTTAGGTACCAATATTCATGCTATGCTAGTATAGCAGCAATGATGCGAACGCAACTTACCTCCATGAGAGTGTATGGCAGACTGGCGCCAATTGAACCACGCTTCCTTATTATAA